TGATTTCTCCCAGCCATCCTGTGGTGTTGGGTCTTAGTTTTGAAGAGACGGTTCCCGCGTTCTCCTCCTTCCTCCTCCCTCCTCCCTCCTCCCACTCCCCCCTCCTCCCTCCTCCCTGCGTTTCACCCACCCAGTACAGCGCTTCGTGGCCCCAGAGGGAGCTCCACCGAAGGTCCCAGTGGGACCGCCCGCATGCGTCAACCACCACCCAGCACAGCCCTTCCTCCCTGCGCTTCACCCGCCTGTTACAGCGCTTCGTGGCCCCATAGGGAGCTCCACCGAAAGTCCGAGTGGACCGCCCGCATGCGTCAACCATCACCTAGCACAGCCCTTCCTCCCTGCTTTTCACCCGCCCGTTACAGCGCTTCGTGGCCCCATAGGGAGCTCCCTCGATGGTCCCAGTGGGACCGCCCGGATGCGTCAACCACCACCCAGCACAGCCCTTTTTCCAGAGTTCCACCCGCCCAGTACACCGTTTTGTGGCCACATAGGGAGCTCCACCGAAGGTCCCAGTGGGGCCGCCCGCATGCGTCAACCACCACCCAGCACAGCCCTTCCTCCCTGCGTTTCGCCCACCCAGTACAGCGCATCGTGGCCCCATAGGGAGCTCCACCGAAGGTCCCAGTGGGGCCGCCCGCATGCGTCCGCCACCAACCAGTACAGCGATTCGTGGCACCAGAAGGAACTCCACCGATGGTCCCAGTGGGACCGCCCGAATGCGTCAGCCACCATCCAGTACAGCGCTTCGTGGCCTCATAGGAGCTCCACAGAAAGACCCCAGTGGCACCGCCCGCACGAGTCGTCCACCACCCACTATTCCACTTCGCGGCCCCATTGGTTGGGAGCTCCACCAAACCCCAGTGGCACTGCCCGCATGCGTCCTCCACACCGGGTACAGCGTTTCGTGGCCTCGTAGGGAGCTTCAGTGGTCCGCCCGCATGCGACCCCTCATCCAGTGCAGCGTGTCGTGGGCCCACAGGGAGCTTTACCGAGGGCCCCAGTGGCACCGCCCGCGTGCGCCCCCCCCTCCCAGTACAGCGCTTCGTGGCCCCATAGGGAGCCCCACCGAAGCCCCCACTGGTTTCGTGGCCCCGTAGGGAGTCCCACAGAAAGACACCAGTGGCACCGCCCGCGTGCGTCTCCCCCAACCAGTATAGCGCTTCGTGGCCTCATCGGGAGCTCCAGCGAAGGGCACCGCCCGCATGCGCCCGCCACGCCCAGTGCAGCGCGTCGTGGGCCCATAGGGAGCCCCACCGAAGGCCCCAGTGGCACCGCCCGCATGCGTCTCCCCAGCCCATTTCGGCACGTCCCTCACGCGTTTCGTGGCCCTATAGGAAGCCCCACCGAAAGCGGCACGCACAACGCGTGACTCATAATTGCATATGGTTGGTTCCTTCGCCAAGATAGTTCATTGTGTGTTTCGATGTTTTTCGGTTTCTCGCGTTTTCGACCTTCCGACGGAGACCGCCGAAGAGGCCGCCAAAAAGAGCCCCAAGACGGCCCAAGGGAGCCCACAAATTGTTCAGGAGGAGCCTCAGACGGCCAAAGAGAGCCCCAGGACAGGCCCAAGCTGGGCCACAGAGCGGGAGCGGGAGGCCCCAAGGCGCTCCAAGACGGCCCAGCTGGCCCCAACGTGGCCCCAGATGAGCCCCGCACGGCAAATACATAGCCGAAGAGACCTCCAAGAGGCCCCAAGAGAGCTCCGAGAGGCGTCCCAAGAGAGCCCGAAGAGGCCCACATCCTTGATTTTTGGTAGTTGTTTTAAATGTGTGTCGCTTTCTCGCGTTCTCGAGCTTCCAACGCTCCAAAACGGCCGAAGACGCCCCGAAGATCGCCCCAAGATCGCCGAAGAGGCCCCAAAAAGAGCCCCAAGACGGCCCCTGAGAGCCTGAAGACTGCCCAAGCGCAGCCCAAGATTCCCCAAGAGAATCCCAGGAGATCAGATGGGCCCCAGAGCGGGAGCGGGAGGCCCCAAGGCGGTGCAGGACGGCCCAGATGATCCCAACGTTGCCCAAGAGGAGCTCAATACAGTAAACACACAGCCCAAGAGGCCTCCAAAAGGCCCCAAGAGAGCTCCGAGAGACTCCCCGAAAGAGCCCGAAGAGGCCCAACTCCTTGATTTTCAGTTGTTGTGTTTGTTTTAATGTTTTCAGTTTTCTCGCGTTCTCGAGCTTCTAACGCTCCAAGACGGATGACGCACCCAAGACCGCCCCAAGACCGCCGAAGAGGCCCCCAAAGAGCCCCAGTACGGCCCCAGAGAGCTTGAAAATTGCCCAGGAGGAGCCCCAGACGGCCCAAGAGGCCCCAGGACAGGCCCCAAAATGGGGCCACAGAGCGGGAGCGGGAGGCCCCACAGCGCTCGAAGACGGCCCAGATGGCCAGGGCTTCCCCCCTCCGTCCCTCTCTCTTCTTCCTCCGCTCACCTCTCAGCTTTCGTGCTCCTCCCTCCTCTCCTGGGACGGCCCCGCCAGAGCGCCAGACAGGCCTCGCCAAAGCGAGCGGGGCATCGCTACACCTTATCATTTCACAAGTTGCTTTGCCCCTCCCACCCCATCAAGGGCGGCCCTGGCAGAGCGGGAGGGGTGTTGCTATACCATATACAGTCCCTGTTCTTTCTTGCTCCCACCGCACCCGAGGTAGCCCCGTCAGAGCGCACGGGGTGTGGCTACACCATAATTTTCCCCGGGTTTCGTGCTCCTCCCCCCCCTCTTGGGCAAGCCCCGCCAGAGCGGCAGGGAAACCCCCGCCAGAGAGAGCAGGGTACCCCTACACCATACTCTTTCACATGATCCCTGCTCCTTCCACCCTTGCAGGGCGGAACCGCCCGAGCGAGCGAGCTTTGGCTATACTATTCAAGTTCTCAGGTTTCGTGCCCCTCCCTCACTTGAAAGGCCTCGCCAGAGCGCCAAGAAGGTACTGCCAGAGGCCCCATCAGAGCTCCAGGCAGCCCCATACATAGGATTGGCAAATCATTGGGCACCCCCTGTGTGCCCGGACCTTCTGATCCCACGGGTGCGACTATCGCGGGCACAAGGTTTGGCGTCCAGCACAAAGAAGCTTCCCCTCTCTCGTGGACGGACTCGACAACAGCTGATTGCAGAGAACGGCACTGATGACCGGGACATTTGCGCGTGTCTTCTGCAGATATCCGACAGCTGAACGACCGCTGACAACGAGACGCTTGGAGCAGAAGGAAGCGAAAAAACAACATCCTGGCGAAGGACCCAACCATATGCAATTGTGAATACCGCAATTATGAATCCCATCTTTGCCCGCGATCCCTATGGGGCCACGAACCGTGTGGGGGCCGAACCGAGTGAGGGGTGTGCCAAATTGGGCGGCGGCGCCATGCGAACTACGCCACTGGGAGATTAGGTGGAGCTCCCTAGGGGTGTGCCAAAATAGGGCGGTGGCGCCAGGCGGGCGGTGCAACTGGGACCTTAGGCGGAGCTCCTTGTGTGTGGGGCCACAAAACTCGTGGGACCTTCGATGGAGTTCCCTATGGGGTCACAAAACGTGTGAGGGGTGTACCAACTTGGGGCGGCGGCGCCATGCGGGCTGTGCCACTGGGACCTTCGATGGAGCTCTCTATGGGGCCACGAAGGGTGTCAGGGGTGTGCCAAAATGGGGCGGCTGCGCCATGCGGGCTGCGCCACTGGGGACTTCGGTGGAGCTCCCTATGGGGCCACGAACTGTGTGGGGGGTCTGCCAAAATGGGGCGGCGGCGCCATGCGGGCTGCGCCATTGAGATCTTAGATGGAGCTCCCTATGGGGCCACAACACGTGTGAGGGGTGTGCCAAAAATGAGGCGGCGGCGCCATGCGGGCGGTGCTAGTGGGACCTTCGATGGAGCTCCCTATGGGGCCACGAAGCGTGTGAGGGGCGTGCCAAAATGGGGCGGCGGCGCCATGCGGGCTTCGCCACTGAGGCCTTAGATGGAGCTCCCTGTGGGGCCACAACACGTGTGAGGGGTGTGCCAAAAATGGGGCGGCGACGCCACGCGGGCGGTGCCATTGGGGCCATCGGTGGAGCTCCCTATGGGGCCACGAAACGTGTGAAAGGTGTGCCAAAATGGGGCGGCGGCGCCATGCGGGCTGCGCCACTGGGACCTTCGATGAAGTTCCCTGTGGGGCCACAACACGTGTGAGGGGTGTACCAACTTGGGGCGGCGGCGCCATGCGGGCTGTGCCACTGGGACCTTCGATGGAGCTCTCTATGGGGCCACGAAGGGTGTCAGGGGTGTGCCGAAACAGAGACATGCGGAGAGCAAACCAAAGGAGGGGGAGGAAGGAGGAGGAGGAGGAGGAGGAGGAGAAGGAGGAGGAGGAGGAGGAGGAGGAAGGAAGGAGGAACACGCGGGGCACCGTCCTTTCAAAACGAGGACCCAACACCACAGGATGGTTGGGAACAACTCGCTCCCACGCGCGCGCGCGCAACGAAGCCCCGAGCCCACCACAACATCAGGAGCCGGCGGAATTTTTGCGTGATCGGGCATCGGGAGACCGAACAGATGCACAAAAACATGTAATGTCACGACGGGGCAGAGCGAAATGAAAGTGGAGAAACAAACGCAGTTCGATACACCAAACAAAGGCGGCAGCGAGAGTGTGAGATACGCGGGAACGTGTTGCCCCGCGTTCTGACTACGTGTTTTTTGGCGTCGACGGCGTAGGCCCGAGAACGTTGGAAATCGTAGTTGTGGCCACAGCGGAGCTTACAGCGGCACCCGTGGCTCATCTGCGACTAGAACCTAAGCGCGCGCGTATCGTGCTCGTGGTTTTGGTGTGTATACATACACGTTAAACATATACACTTACAAATGCACGTACACACATATATCTGTATGTGCATATCTGTACGTATGTGTGTATATATAAAGGTATCCCGCTCGCTTTTTCCCAAAGTTGCGTCGCAGCACCAGATTTAGCCTGCATCTGCGCCGCTCCCCGCTGGGTCCCCCTGTCGCGTGTCTCCGTGGCCCCTGCTGTGCAACGCGCCAGTCCCCGAGCCCGAGCCCTGGCGGTTCCACGAGCGCACGATGCTCGTCTAGCAGCCCAGCCGCGCTACGCGTGATGGTGGGGAGCTTATGATGGGGGGGGAGGCAGGGGAGCCGGGAGCGCAGCGGAAGCATACCAGTCGCGGGGGAGGAGCAGACGCGACGGCACGACAGCATGGCCAAGCACGGCTGCATGTGGGAAGGGTTGTGTGTCGGGCGAGCGTGCGGATTGTCAGCGGGAAAGTTGGCGGGCAGATCGGGACGCTGGGCAGGAGCAGGGGCAGCCCAGCCGTCCTGCGAGTTCTCTGCCACCGTCTGCGTACAAGGATTCACTCATTTGTTTGCTGAAGAGTTCGTTGGCCTTGGGTGTGGGGCATCTTCGTGGTTCGGGGTACCCAGCTGCCCTCGGCAAGTCCCGCCACCGTGCCAGCCCAGCAGTCTGGATGGCGATTGTGCGAGAAGCGCCCAGGAAGCTGGAACGTGCAACAGCTCGTGTCTGGAGGCTTGGCAGAGCCGTCCAATGTTATACGCTTCTCTGTGTCGTGTCGGGGCAACGGGCCGGAACGAGGTGGCAACGGGCCGCACCGCGGCGAACCCTTGCCAGACCCACCCAGCGCACGAGGCGGCAACGAGGAGCAACGGGTGGCAACGTGGCGAAGCCTCGCTGGACCCACCCAGCGCACGAGATGGCCAACGAAGCAGCAACGTGGCGGCCCCTCGCCGGACTCACCCGGCGCGCGTGGCGGCAACAAGGCGGCGATGAGCGGTATTGGCGAAACCTCCACCCAGGGCACGAGGCGGCAACCAGGCGGCAATTTACCGAATCTTCGCCAGACCCACCCGGCGCACGAGGCGGCATCGAGGCGGCATCGAGGCGGCAACGGGCGGCAGCGTGGCAAATCCTCACCGTACTCCCCGAGCGTGGCGGCCCCTCGCCAGACCCCCGCATCGCACGAGGCGGCAACGAGGCGGCAACGAGGAGGCAACGGGCGGCAACGTGGCGAAGCCTCGCCAGACCCGCCCAGCACACGAGGCGGCAATTCGCGGCATCGGGCGGCAGCGTGGCGAGGCCTCGCCAGACCCACCCAGTGCACGAGGCACGAACGTGGCGAACACAAGGCGGCAACGGGCGCAACCTCGCGAAACCTCCCCAGACCCATCCAGCGCATCAGGCGGTAACGAGGAGTCAACAGGGGGCAACGTGGCGAGACCTCGCCAGAACCACCCAGCGCACGAGGCGGCAACGAGGCCGCCACTTGCGGCAACGGGCGGCAACGTTGCGAAACTTCTCCAGACCCACCCGGCACATCAGGCGGCATCTGAGTGGCAACGGGCGGCAGCGTGGCGAATCCTCGCCAGAGCCACCCAGCGCACGAGGCGGCCACGAGGCGGCAAGGGGCGGCAACGTGGTAAACCTCGACAGACCCACTCAGGCACACTAGGCTGCATCTGAGTGGCAACAGGCGGCAACGTGGCGAATCCTCGCCAGAGCCACCCAGCCCACGAGGCGGCCACGAGGCGGCAAGGGGCGGCAACGTGGCGAAACCTCGACAGACCCACCCAGCGCACTAGGCTGCATCTGAGTGGCAAGGGGCGGCAACGTGGCAAGACCTCGTCGGACGCTTTCCACATCTGACAGGCAAATTGGTGTCGGACCCCAAACAGTAGTTACTGCAGTGCCGATGTGCGGGCGATACGGTGCAAACCATGCTGTGCAAGCTGTATGGTGCAATATGTGTGGTTCGCGCTCTGTGGTGCAAGCAATGTGCTGCAAGGCATGTGGGGCAAGTCAAATGGTGTCAGCTATGCGGTGCGAGCTGCGTGGTGTAAGCTGTGTGGTGCAGGCTGCGCGGTGAAACATCTGTGGTGTGAGCGATGCTGTGCAAGACGTGTGGTGCAAGCTGTGTGGTGAGCCGTTGAGTAATGCAACAGCTGCGGCCGCCCTGCCCACGAGGCGCCAACGAGGCCCCGCGGGCCGGCACCAGATGGAAGCTCGAACCGCTCACCCGGCGCACGAGGCAGGCTCCCACGATGCGCCCGAGTGCGGGCACCAGGGGTCGGGAGCGGAAAAGAGGGGGGTGATGACTGGGGGTGGGGTGGATTTCATGGCGCGGGCCATGATTTTTCCTCAGATTTCATGGCGCCTCTTCTTATTTTATTACGTCCCAGGCCCCCCCGCTGGGCCGCGCACATGCCGCCGGTCATGAGTTGCACCCCCACCCCCCTCTTGGCCCACCCAGCGCACGAGGCGCCCACGAGGCGCTCGCGGGCGGGCCCGGCGCCACACCAGGCGAAACCTGGGCACGCCCGCCCAGCGCACGAGGTGCAGCACGAGGTGCCACGGGCGGACACCAGCCGAAACCTCGGCGCGCCCGCCCAGCGCACGAGGCGCCAGAGAGGCGCCCCGTGCGCCAACCAGCTAGGCACCGGCCGACACCGGGCACATCCCACCGCTTACCGCAAGTAAGCGAAGTACGATCCCCTCAAGTGCACGCTCGTTGTTTTGGAAACCCAGTGATGCCGATTTCTTCGGGGCCTCACAGAGGTCCTCTTGAAGCACTCTTGAGTCGATTTGGGGGCCTCTCAGGACGTCCTGAGGCCATCTTGGGCCGCATTGGGGCGATCTCTGAATGGCTTGCCGTGTTGGTCGTTCGTGGCGACTTTGGTGACCTGCCAGCCCCGCCCCGAAAACTATCTTGCGCATGCTGGACGCACTGGCGCGTTGGAGAGCGCGAGGGAAGCGTCGGGCCGCCCAGTGAGCCGCAGGACGGGGGGTTGGGGGGCAGTGCGCCCAGGCGCTATCTGGAGGTAGAGGCGTTCGAGGGGAGTTTACAGAAGCCCCACCAGACAGCACTTGGGGCATCTTGCCACGCCTCAGCGTGTCATGGGGCACCATGGCGGGCTCCCTTCGACGGTCTCCTCGTTCTCGTCCGTGGTCCCTGGACCGTGGGGGATCTTCTTGGTCCGGCCAAGATTCCCGGCTCTGCCTGCGCTGTCAGCTGTCCCTGGGGCATGAGGTTGTCCTTGCGTCAGTTGTTGTCTCTTGATGTTTGGGATTGCCACTCATTCCAGGCTGTTCTTGCATGTTGGCGACTTGTTTGGACCAGCTGTTCCTGGCAGTTCTTGCCGCTCACTGGTCGACGTGCCAGGGATCTGCCTGTTTGATCCGTCTGTTTCCGCTGGTCTGGGGATGTGGCTGGTTCGGTTGTTTCCACACGCCCTTGGCTGTTACTGTTGCCAGTGGCCCGAATACAAGAATTGGGGAGCGGAGGAGGGTGTGTATAGGGTAAGTTCATGAAGCCAGGGCGTAGCGATGCCCATATCAAAGGAAGACGACTCGGTGGAGGGGAACGCGTTCCACCCCCTCCCTCGCGGACACAGTCGTGCGGCGTACATGCGTGGTGATCCTTTTTAGGACCTCGACAGCGATCTCTCGGGCTGCATTCTCCGATCTCCCGCTTACGCTAATGTGATGGCTGCAGGGGTGTATGATCTGCAGTTCTGTGCCCACCGCAGGCCAGCGCTTGGGATGGTCAAGGCCACAACGCGTCATCTTCAAAAGACATCAGCGCCATGAACTACTCGAAGCAGGGTGCGCCACCCGAGTCTGCGTGTTCTCTTTCTGGATTTGACTGTTCTGCCGCTGCAAGCAGCCCTGGGTACAACACTTAATCACATTCAGACACATTTAGCGCTGAGCACAGCTGGGGCATGTGGCTGATTTCGCCTCACGAGTGGTATACGCGCTGACGGCGTTCTGACGACCGAACGCATTCTGCATTCATGTTTGTTCTTCTCGCTCGGTTGCCAACATGGCCTCTATCGCACTCACGAGGAGAGGCCGCTGCTGTCGCGAGGCATCTTCGTTGCCCAGAACAATACAGAACTTTGTACGTATAGATACTGATCAGGAGGAGCTGGGGGAGGGTGACGAAGTACATG